GGACACCTAGAGCACAGGGAACAAGGTCTTTCCTTTGCTTGTGATTCGCTTGGGAGCTCTGAAAATGAAATCTGGCTTTTGAATGGGTCATGTCAGACGCCCTAGTTGGAAATGTGGGCTTGGCTCCTGAGGCCAGTGGGATCTCCAGACAGTAGCAGATGGTTGTGTGTTGGTGCGGGGGAGCTCTGTTGTGTTCCTTGACCCTTCCTGCAGCCGTGGAGGAATGCACTGAGAAAGGGTGTCTGGCCCTGTCACTGTTGGAGCTGCTGGGTTTCAACCTGACCTTTGTCTTTCTTGCCAGTCTTCTGGTCCTGATCCAGGTAAGACTGAGGTCCACTGCTTCTGCTTAAGCAGCCATGCTTTGCTGTCTCACAGATCTGACCTGTGAGGTTTGCTTGCCTGCCTAAAGTGTGCTCATCCCAGAGTTCTCAAGCAGACTTTACAATACTAGTAAATTATAGTGCTTAGCTAGGCAGTGTCTCTTGGTCCCTTGCTGTGCTTGCTGGCAAAGGGTTGCCAGGCAGTTATGATGTTGGTACAACTTAGTGTCAGTGTTTTCTCTGCAGCCTGTGGCAGCTGGATCAGGAATCCCTGAGATTAAATGCTACTTGAATGGAGTAAAGGTTCCAGGGGTTGTACGTCTCCGGACAGTGGTGTGCAAAGCTATAGGAGTGCTCTTCAGTGTGGCAGGAGGTAAGAAGGGCTGTGGCGACTTGATCTTGCTGGGATAGGGAGTTACTAACACTGGGAGGTGCTGACACTGCTGTCTGTAGCGCACAGGAGGCTTCTCCTACCTTTCTAGTGAAGTGACTTTGATGGACTGGAGCCAAGTCACGACCCCTGAATGCACACACTGAGTGGAAAACAGATGGAAGAGTCAGGACTATCTGGGGAATGGGTACATTCCTAGGTGAGATAGTCAGAAGTGTCTGAGCAGGAGGCCTGAGATGTGACCTCCAGAATGTTTTATCTAGAGCAAGCTTAAGGAGGCTATTCGAAGTTATGCCCATTCAAAATTATGGGTCCCTGTCATGGTTTGGGAGTGGTGGGCGAATCTCTTGATGGAGACTGGGAGAGGGGAGCAAGAGAGAGGCAAAATGTGCTCATAAATCCTGTTTTTCCAGGTCTCTTTGTTGGGAAGGAGGGTCCAATGATCCACAGTGGTGCTGTTGTGGGCGCAGGTTTGCCACAGGTGAGTGCTGGCCTGGGCTCTAGACTGGGTGAGGTGGGGAAGCCCTGTTTCACTTCTCTGACTCCTGACTGAAATGTGGTGTTGGGCAGGAATGTCTCTTGTCTCAAGAGCTTTGTCTTGGGTTTACTTGATCACAGGAATATGGTGGGAAAAAAGGGCTTTGGTAGACAAGAGTTGTTATTTTTTATTGGTTTGTTTTCCTGATGCCTTTACTCTGTTTGCAGTTTCAGAGCATCTCTTTGAGGAAGATCCAGTTTAACTTTCCCTATTTTCGCAGTGACAGGTACTGTACCCAAGATATGCAGCAGGAGAGGTGAGGAAAATGAAAAAGTAGATTTTCCTACAAGGAAGGCACTTGTTTTTCCAGTTTCTTTGGTGTCCTGCCTGCAGTCTCATGCTGCAGCATGAGTTTCAGGGCATTTCACTTGACTCTTTGGTGTTGCCCTTAATGACTCCCTGGTCTTCTTGTTCATTTTATTCTCTTGTGCTGCCCCAAAAAATCCTCCATGTTTAAAACCTTCAGTCTGAAGCGTTAATGGTTTCACTGTTGGGATCAATGGTGCCACTCTTGGGCACTAGTTTATGCAGCCCTTATGGCAAGGGTAGACTCCAGGGAAGATTAGTTTACCTGACTCTGGACAAACTTTTGCCCTTCCCTTCAGTGTGTAGCTCGTTCAAGTGATGCAGGAGACCTAGGGTTTGGATTTGTTCCCTTGTACTGAGCAGTCACATAGTGTTTCAATACTCTGTTCTGTATTGGTGCTCTGGAAGAACAGAACAATACTGCAATGACTTCTCAGTAAATGGTGTTGCCTACCATGGCCAACACTCCTCCTAGCTGCCACTTGTGTATTCCTGGGTCATTAAATGGGAATGGTTACTTACTTTGCAAAGCCCAAGCACTTCCAGAGCTCTGCTTTGATAAACTGACATGGGTTTCTCCTCCTTTTCAGAGACAAAAGGGACTTTGTGTCTGCTGGAGCTGCTGCAGGGGTTGCAGCTGCCTTTGGGGCTCCAATTGGGGGGACTCTTTTCAGCTTGGAAGAAGGCTCCTCTTTCTGGAACCAGGGGCTTACATGGAAGGTGGTAAGTAATGGCTAATGGTGATTTCTCTGCCTCCAATGCCTGATTTGCTGGCTTGATGGTGTTCTGAAAGATACTGGATTTCATGATTCTGTTTGTATTC